TGAAGCAGGTCGCTGGTTCCCTGAAGCTCTTCTTGGCCCAGTACCGTGAGGTTGCTGCTTTCGCCCAGTTTGGCTCTGATCTCGATGCTTCAACCAAGCAGACTCTGGCTCGTGGTGAACGCGTAAGTTGTTTTGGCGCATCTCTCACTTTCTTTCCTATTTCTTTTTTTCCCCTCTTGTCTTGGGAGACGGCAAAATTGCTCACCATTCTTGATTACAGTTGACCGAGCTTCTCAAGCAGAAGCAGTACTCGCCCATGGCTGTCAACGAGATGGTCCCCCTCATCTATGCTGGTATCAATGGCCACCTCGACAGCATTCCCGTCAACCAGATTCTCAAGTGGGAGGCTGATTTCCTGGCTCACCTCAAGACCAACGAGGCCGACCTGCTGGCCACCATTGACAAGGAGGGTGCTCTGAGCAAGGACCTCGAGGCCAGACTCAAGGACGTCACTGTCAGCTTTGTCAAGAGCTTCCTCAGCTGAGCGTTATACCATACGAGGCGCGCGTCGGACAAACTGAAAGGGGCCATTCTGGGGGCTGTCAACTGTCTACTAGATTCTTGCTGTTCATTCTCTGGAACTGGAGGAGGAAAATGGAACGTGTTGGTATTGCCAAATGAGATTGCCATGGCTAGTATCTGAGAGACACGCCAGCCCTTCTACCATATGTAAAATACAAGCATATTACTTAATGAATGTCCTCCATTTGTTTCATTCTACTCGTCTCGACATCAGGGACGCCTTGCAAGCTATTCAAGTAATGGCAAATAGGTAGTGTGTCATTATCGTGTACGTACTTCTCCAAGTTGGTGAGGGTACCTAGGTAGTGGTATGCCATGTCTGCATAATGGTCTGGAGTTGGAACACTGCCAAAAGGACGCGTTCTAGCTGCCTACAAGGTTCTCGCCCTGTCCTGGAAACGGAGTTCGAGCTCCGACCAATAGAGATACAGACCTTGTATTTTTTAACGCAGGCCACTTGCAGGCCCATGAATTCCATGCTTGGTGGCCCTATAGGATCTCCATCTGTTGCTCTAGGGCGTCTCCTTCTCTTCATCTTTTCTTCCAGTTACATCACATTTATCACATTTATCGCAAAAGCAGCGCTGCCAAGGGAAAATAGTCATGGAACAATCAGCCGAAAAAACCCTCAACTTGAAGCTCCCCCTGCCAGACGCCCAGTACCGCGAGTTCATGCGCGAGTTCATGCGCGAGTCCCAGCAACATTATATGAGGCTCCTTTCGACATATACATTCGTCTTGGATGAGAATGGCCGATTAGTGCCCAAAGGTATGCCCTCCCTCTTCACTGCCGACCTGATGGCCCATCCTACTCCTCAAGCCACCGTCTCCCAGGGCATACAGACTGACCCCAAGCTGCGCCAAAAGCCGTCGTCTCCCAGGGCACGCAGACCACAGTCTCTAATGCACACGAAAACACCGCGGGGGAAGGCCAGGTCCCCGCCTCGCAGGGCTCTGGTGGCGTTTAGGGCCTGGAAGCCTACACCCAGCTCTGAGAATCCTGCAAAATGTTCAGGGCATGAAGGGCTCGCTGCTCGACAGCTTTATCCCCAAGATTAACGCGACGCTCAAGGGACCTTTTCTCATTGTTAGGAAACCAGCAAGAGAAGTGCCGCAACTAGCTGAAGCCGTGGAAGGGATGGAAGGTTGCTCAAGACAAGCCCTAGATGAACATCATGGAATGGACCGAGTTGAGGACTGTGGGAAATGGATGGAAATGGGATGGACCCTGGGAATACTGGCGTTTAATACCTATTTGCTTCTTTTATAATATAAAAGCTCTATGGAAATTGAGGGTTTCGTAAAGGACGGAAGGGTTGTATATGTCCCTGGGCCATTCTGTCTCCTACACATTAGCATATCTTTATTGCTCAAGCCCTTTGCATTTCCAGGAGACAGACCGGAGTTGAATCTCCTGGGAAAGGACAAAAGGCTGCCCCTAAGCTATATAAAAAGTGTCCTGGAAAGCGAGATCAGACTCCAGCCTCAGTTTTCGGAGACATCTTTAGGCACTGCCCGCAGTAGTTCACCTTGTTCACGGCAACTTTATGCCCCCCGCTGGATTTCTGCATGACATTTACAAACCTGAACATCTCATCATTCCTTGACTCCGCTATAATCTCCAGCACCAGCCTTCCTCAAGCGCCGTAAGTAAATCCTCTATTTTATTATTGCCGCCGAGATTGATTCTGAGATTTGAGAAAGAAAAACTTCCGCCTACTCCTACGCCATGTCCCACGAAGAGCAGAATCCGCCAGACCTATCGGACCCCGTGAGAGAATCGGAAGAGCGAAGGATGGGGGCCTCCACGAGCACTGCGGCTGTTGACCAAGATGATGGAACTCCCGCCATCACTACAGCCCCTGCCCTGATCCCCTCCTCGAATGCCCTCAGCCAGCAGGCTCTCACCACAGCCGCCAGCCTGACGCCAAACCCCCCTGCTCAAGGAACTCCCTTCCCCGGCCTACAACAGACGCCCCCGCCCCCCCAGGATCACCAGCAAAGATCCAGGACCCCAACCGCCGCTTTCACGAATCCCACCAAAGCCAGGGCTCTTGCGAGCAAGCTAGTACTTGACAGTTGGAAGAGCCTCCAGCTGGTGCGGGTGACTCAAGGCAGCCAAGTACACCTGGCCGTGGAAAGTCTCTCTGGAGGCTGTGTTGCCCTCACCAACTCGGCTTTGACGACGCCGTCTGTTGGAGGTTCTCGCATGGAGCCGGCGGTTGCATATTCAGTGCGCGCAAGAGCATGTTTTCTGGCGAATGGAGGAGAGGTCTTCAAAGCACCCCCAGCCGGGTCTACCGCGGCCTTCGATCCCGAGGACAGATGGAAAAGCCTTAGGGCAGCTGTTACGCCTACCGTGGATGCCAACAAGCACTATGTAGGCGCCGCCTATGTGGGATACAACTCCCTGATGCATGGGCCTGTTTTTGCCCGGCTGTTCAAGGATGCCGAGTCCCCGGCAAGGCCTAAGCCGCCAGCTCCCAAAGCGCCAGCTCCCAAGGCGGCTACTCCCAAGGTGCCTGCTGCTGCAAAGGGAAGGGGCAAGAGGCCTTATAATCAAACGGAGGAGGACAATGAGCCTCGGGTTAAGAGGAAGACGGCCAGCTCTGAGGAACACCGCACGACCTTTGCTCTGAAGGGGTTGGAGACATACAAGTACCCCCTGAACCAGCTCTGCGGACAGCGGGTTATCCCCCACTATCTCCTGACCTCCCGGTGCAACCTGCTGTTCCTCAAGCAGGTACTGTGTGGGAGGCCCCTGGAAGACTTGCTCCAACCCGTTCCTGCGAATTGGGCGGTGGGGATCGCTACCCACACAGCCGAAAGTATAGCAAAAGGGGCTGCCCTGACGCCTATGACAAAGAGGCCCCTTGGCTCGTGGGACGGTTTAGACCAGCATATGGTCGGCCAATTGGAGAAGCCTGGAGAACTGGCAGGACCAGACAACCTGCCTGTGGCAGACCTGGTTTCCGACGCCACGTTGCTATTTCGTGGAGGAAGAGCGCCATCAGGCTTTATCTACGCCGCGCCTCTATGCCTTTTAATGGCATATCCCCCTGAACTTCTCACCCTGCTGCAGGGATTTGCAAGATCCCTGAAGAACGATCTGCTTCCCATACCCCACTTGTATCTGGCGGCCCATCTATGGGTAGACATATGCCAGGATATTACAAGGCAGAACGAGAAGTATACCATGGACTCTGCCGTCAAAGAGCCAAAGCCTAAGAAGGCATCAGAGGAGGCCGACTCCAGGGCGGCATCAGGGAAAGCCAAGGGCAAAAACTTGAAGGTAGCACCAGAGGAGCCAAAAGTCAACAAGGACGATGTGCCTATGGTCACCTTGGCGGAATTCTTGGTTTATTATAACCACTGGCTGCGGTGGGCGGCTCTGTGGATGGGCCTGGCGGAGTTTCCCCATCCGTTCCGATTCGTGCGTGAGGCCGTGGATCAGGATAAACGAATCCTAAAAATGCAGGACCTCCCTTCTTTGGACCAGGACCGTGTCAGGGAGCTTATTGAGAAGACTCGTTTAAGGCCTGAACTAGCTGGGAAGGTCCCGGGGCTAAGTCACCATACCCGCGTCAACATCTTTCCTGAGAATATCCCTGGAGTTGACAGAGTGCGCATGCACCATTTGATAGGGGGCGAGGAGTCTACCAAGACGGCTATTGCGCTGACGGGCCTGGAGGACATCTCCCTCATTGGCCTCGAGTCATATGAGCAGCCTATCCCTGACAATACCATGACACTTGCTTCTGGTGCCTGTCAATACCGAACGGCCAAATGGCCTTCGCACAGGCATCATATGCTTTATTCCATACCTGGGAAGAAGGTGGGGGAAGCAGAGACGAAGTTCGTGCAATTCGCCTGGAGGAGGAACGACCCCACGAGAGACCCCGTTATCCCACGAAGAGAGGAGCTTGTGGTAAAGGAGCCAAGCCCAAAGCGCCACGACGACCGCCTGAAGCCAGAGGGAGAATGGCAGCCTGAAAAAGTTCGACAGTATCTCGAGGAAAGCCGCGAGCATTACGCCCAAGTCATCCCGAAGTATCTGAAACCTGTGTGGCCCTACGAGCTCATCCTGGACGAGTATCATAGATTGGCACCCTTGGGTGTCGACCTGCCTCCCCCCCCTGAACTAGACGGACCACTCCCGCTGTCATGGAAAGCAACCGCCCCGCCAACGGTCAGATTCGCGGAGGAAGCAAAAGAAGAAGTAACAGGGCCCGAGGGCCTTCAGGACGAAGCCGCCTACAACCACCTCATGACTGGTTGGGCTGGCCTCCCTGAAGATTGCCACTTCGTATGGATTGATGGGCTCGAGAAGCTAAGGGGCCTAGAACCCCAGCAAAGGAAGACGAAGACGCTGCTGGACCTGGTGCGGGATTGCTTGTTGATGGAGAAGGCCGATAAAGGCTTCGTGGAGGACGTGGTCCAGCGCGTGGAGAAGGGAGAGAAGCTGGAAGAAGAGGTGCTGTTTTCGAAACTCCCCTCTGCCTTTGGGAGAATCCTGGGTGTAGGCCCTATGGATGGCGTGCCTGCCCAACAAAACCCGTGGGGGAATCATTATGCAATGCAAACGAAACCCCGTCAGGAGGACGCGACTTTCTCCGTGGAGTTTCTGCTGGAGTTGATCCAAAAGGTGCAGGGTGTGGAGGGATCCCGCAGGCCCAAGTGGGTTGCTCAGATCATTGAATCGGTCAAGAAAACCGTGGGCTTGATAGACGAACTTCAGCTTGGCAACGAAGCCTGGCTGCAGGATTGGAAGGCCCTGGTTATCCCAGCAGAGGTCTCAGCCGACGTGGAGACGACGACTGTCCAAGAGGGAGAGGGCCCGTCAGTGTAACGATTTATGGATACTGGCGTTTGGGGGATTCCTAGGGATGGGATTTTTTCTTTTCTTCTCTTTTACTAGCTGGATCACGGAAGGAAGGTGGCAATTTCCCCAATAGCCAGATCGTGGTGGCTACATCTCCACGAAGCTTGTGGCCTCGGGCGGCAGAATGCATCTCTTCCTGATGCCGATTTATTTGTTTTCGTTCTTTCCTCTTTTACACACCATACCTAGCTTACCACAAGAGAAATCGTGCTTTAACTATCTATCCGTTTATAATCATCCCTTTCGTGGACCTTCGAGATATTCTCTCTATGTATTGAACCCGCCGCCCCTTGTTAGCAACATCTAATCTATGAGTGGCCCCCTAAAGGCCAGGCAGCTACAAAAGCAGAAGACGTGTCTAATTCAATACTGAGATTGTGGCTATATTAATAGACTCTGATTAATAGCTCTAATCTCGCTTTAATCACTCTAGGTCTGCTTAAGCTAGTGATGATATTATTATCGTCGCGTATTAAAAAGAGGCGACTCTCTTATTAATACCTATACCTTATAGAAATATAATATAACTCTACTGTCCTTCTCTCTTAAGCCACTTCTTGTATTTAACTATATAATTTATTCTTAAAAAGTTTTAAAGCGTTAACTTTATTATTACTAGTATTAATCTTATATAGACCTTAGAGGTATAGTAATTAAAGCGCTAGCTTAATCCCCTTATTTACCCTAGATTTATCTTATTTTCTACTTTAATAAATAAAACACTATATAGTAAAGAGAGAAACTGCATATTAATAATATCTTTATAGCTTTATTATTAAACCTTATAAAGCTTAATAAACTTAGATAATATCTACTAATAGAGATTCTCCTAATATATTTATTATAATAAAGAAGGTGCTAAGTAAAGTTAGGCAGATAATCCTGCCTATACTTAATACATTTTATAAAGGTATGCTGCTACTAGGCAGGCTTACTAGTCTCCTTAATATAAAAATATATTATCTTTAAGTAAATAGAAAAGACTAATGTAAATTATGTCTAATATATATATAGGCTAGCTTAAGCAAGTTGCTATTATTAGTAGTAATAAGAACTATATAAAAGCGCTATATTTCTTAGCTATAGCTAGTATAAGATTAAGATATGATATAGTAAGACTAGATAACTCTCTTTCTTTAGCATAGCATCCTAAGCTTTAATTAAAGTTAATTTAAAGCTAGTTATTTTAAAAGGGAGAGATAGTATTAATATAAGGCCTTTCTAGTTATATATTATTTACACTTTTATAGCTATAGTAGTTATTAAGATATATTTACTTAATCTTATAGTATACTTACTTATATACTAGTTACCTCTTTAAAAATAATTATTAGTAAAAAATAAAAGAGACTTAGATTTTAATCCTAATTATATAACTAGCAGGATTATTAATATACTAAGAAGGCTATATATTTTTATTATAAGTCTTAGGCTTAGTTATAATCCCCTTATATAAGTAACTATAAGCTATATTATTAAGGCTGCTAAAGAATCTAAAATACTTATAATATTTAATACTAATACTCTTTAGCTTATTTAAAATAATCTAGATATAGTTAAAGAATATAAGTATATAATTCTAATACTTAATATAGTTAAGTTTAAGCAGCTATATAATACACTTAAGATTAATATTAGCTAGTAAATTAATAAAATAAGTAAGGTAAAAACGCTAGTAAAAGAACTAGGCAGTATAATAATTATTTAAAAGGGCTATAAGGACTTTATCTTTAATAGTAAAGTATTAAATATATATTAAATAAAAGAGAAGAGTAAAGGAGTTAAAAAGTAAGATATAGCTAGTTTATTATAAGCTAGAAGGTAAGTTTTAATAAAGGATTATATTTATCTTTAGCCTTTTTATTAAAAAGTAAAAAGCCTTTCTTTTTATACTTATATTATTATATTTTTATAAAGTAGCTATATTTTAGCTATAAGGTTATAAATATAAAAAAAGTAAAGCTAGCTTATTATTATATTCCTTTTTTAAGAATAATTATTCTTCTTCTTCTTTTATAAAAAAGCTTTAAGGTTCTTAATATAAAGTTACCTTAGTAAGTAACTTAAAGAGAGGGAAGAAGTAAAGTAGTAAATAGGGTAATACCTTAATAAAAACAGTAGTGACCTTTTTAAGCTAGTATAAGGCTTATTTAAATAGCTTATAAAAAGATTATAAGCAGCCTGCTCTTAATATAAATAAGATAATAAGCTTAGCTGCATTTAAAGGAAGTTTAATAATAAAGGTAAGTTTACCCTTATTTAGACTAGGTTAAGATATAGAGGACTTTAAGGGACTAATTTAGACATTACTAATATTTAAAACGCCTATATTCAGGAGTGCTTATAGCTGGCCTTTCTTAAGAAGGGATAGAGTCTGCAGGCAAGTGATTTAATAAATAAGGTCTATTCTGCTTTTATAGCGCTTTTTAGCAAGGTTAATAAGGAAGCAGATGCAGTAAAGCTCTAAGTTATAACGCAAGTGTTATTAAACATTAACCTGCCACATGTAAATAAATACTTTTATTTTATTACGTCCTAAACTCTGGAATATTAGCCTATAGAAACCTGTGCTCTCTACCCCTAAACCACCAAGAATCTCTTTAAAACTCCTAAAGAGATAAGAAGCGGATAAAGCCGCCTTCACTCGTCAGTGCATGATATCTACTTCGCACTGAAAAAAGCAAGCCTTCTTTTAATGCTCACATGCTGCCGATGCTACCATGTTGCATAGTCGCTACACCAATTGACCGGTCAAGATGGCTGTAAGCCACATCTGCGTCTTGAAGGCGCTCTTCTGCGGCCCATGGCGTATGTCGGCCGTGGATTACCAGGATGATAGTTGGATCGAGAAGCCAAGACCAATAATGCAGTGGCGATGCCTCGCACAAAGAGGCGCTCGCGCAGCGGTGGCTTTATTGGTATGACGAATGGTTGCTTCGTACTCTATACATGCCTGTCAAAACCTGATATGACCCAGTCCAATATGCAGGCAACGTGCAGTTCGGTGAGCCGCCCAAGCTCGATCATTGGACGCCATCTGCCGTGAACCCGTGAACTGCTACTGTCAGCTTGTCGAGTCCTAGTCAAATGCTCATACCATAGTCCAGAGGCAAAATAACAGCTCGCGCGCAGTGCGATAGATTGTGCTCCTGCAATTGCTTTTTCCTAGAGTAGCTCCAAGATTTCCTTTCTTTCCCCCTCTTTTTGCTTTTTCCAATAACTCCCTCAGGGTATGGAGTACGAGCATGCGAGGAGTCGTATCACATATCGCAAACGACTTTGTGAGAGCTTTCACACATAGAGAGGTTCACGGTGGTGATGGCCGGAGGCATCCGTTTGGCTCGCTTTGTATGCACTTCGTCATCTGGTCATAAGCAGGGCACGGGGTACAATCTAGGCGCTCATCAACCGTCTGAACATTAGAAGCGAGTCAGGATGGAACCCTGCAACGGGCAACTTGGCTGTGGAGACAATAAGAAAAGAGCGACTGTGCAACTCCATCGCAAGGGAGGAGGCAGAATCAAAGACGGGCACAGTGGCAGGAAATGTGTCATACGTATCTGTATGACCCCAGTCCCTGCGAAGCAGTGGTTCGCGATGGCAGCGCTGTCCCCCGCGCCTGGATTCTGCACAACGGCTGCAGCCTCTGTCCGCGACGGTTGGTCGCAGCATTCTAGCACCTGGGACCAAAGAAGTTGGTATGTTCTGGCGGCATGAGAGCGTCCCATCATGCGGTTCTGAAGGCAAACCTTTCCAACCCAAGGATTGCATCGTGCCCCTGTCCTGTCATCTCTGCCTCGAATGATTGCTGTGATGGTGTTCTACGGGGTACTGCATGATACGCTGCACGTCAAGCCCTGGGAGAGCATCGTATCTCGTCAGCCCAGTCGCGGGATTGATTGCCAAGTAGGACTACTAGTAGTACCGAGTTGAAGGGCAGATGTGAGATGTGAGCCTTGATGCGAATTAGATCGCCGGACTGGCATGCTGGCAGGAGAAGCTTGCATAAGGTCGGTGGGGCCGTGGACTTTTTCAACCTCCCGGTCATTTGTCCCAGTCTCCCTCGAGTTCCTAGATACTTGGTAATGGAAACAAACCGCCGACCTGATCGGGTGTGTGGAGAATGGTGATAAGATCTGAGTACATACTTGGTAGAGCCCGCCGAAGTGTTTCTTCTTGTTTTCCTGGGGACGCATGTACGAGGTATTACTCGTACCAGGACATAGCGGTCTGTTAGAGGCAAGTCTATGTCGGTGCGAGGCGGACAGAGGCTGTTTGCAGAAAGACTAGTTGTCGTCACATTAGCCGAGCCAAGATGCTGGGAGTCGGAACGAGAGACGATCGGTCGTAGGAGCATCGGGGCCAAAGGTGGCTATCGACCTACCATACTGCCTTGTGCTTCGTAGCAGGCCGCGCTGAATTGAAGGCTCGAGGACCTCAGGTACTGGTACTCCATAGCCCGCGTTGTCTCTCTCCTCCTGTCGTTCTGTCTTGGACAAGACGGCTGTGCGATGCATGCCTCGGGTCTGAGGTCCTGTTAGAACGCAGTGGCGCCTTTGGTCACAACGTCTCAGCCTGGACGCTTCCCACATGTCTCACCCGCTCCGCACCAACAGAGCCAAAGGGCTGGAGGGGCGAGGGGTGAAGGTGATGCCTCGTCCCAGAGCTGCCATGTTAGGGCACGTCTCTGCCATCTCCGCCATCTCGAAAACCCTCAAGCATCCCGCGCCGTGGACGCACCCCGGTCGACGTCCGTGGCCCGCGGCGCTAATCTGCACATATTGTCTCTGCCCTGCGTCCGAAGTGGCTCTTGGCTGCGGCTTCTCAGCTTCATCTAGTCATGGATCTCGGACTCGAGTGGTGTGGCTTGCTGCGCTCGAGCGCAGGCCGTGGGGACGGGCGAGGAGGGTATCCGATTTGCTTGCTTTTTGCTGCTGCTGGCTTTGCTTTTTCGGACGCTGTTTCCCAGGGTCCGGTATGTCTTGGAGGGAGGAACTGCGCTCGGGTCTCACTCTGGCCAGCCCCTGGGAGACGCGATAAAGTCTCCCTCGACCCCTTCTGATGAGGGTCGCGGCAAGCTGCTTGTGTCTCGTTGCTTGTAGATACCTTACCTTACGAAGTCGTGCTGCTTGTATTATTTCCAAGTTTCCATTCGACTCTTTCTGCTTCAAAGCTACTGCATTGCTACTTCCTCGTCGTTTCTGCTGCCGTTGCTCCTTCTGTCCTTGCATGGGAGCTCTGGGAAGTTGCTCGTTGGCTCCTTCCATTCACTTATACGCAAGGTACCTCCAGAGGTACTTCCCATATCGCCTCCGAGAACCTCAATTTCAACTTCAACTTCACCCTCTTCGACCAACGCTCGCCCCCTCAATCACTCCTCCGCCGTATCTGCGACAGAAGCACGGAGTAATTTCAGAAGACTTCCACCTCGAAGACGGCTCGCAACCATCGCAGTTGCGACATCCAGTCTTAGTTCCGCCTGTCCTCATCCCTGAAGGCGGTACAAGGCGCATACGCACAGCATCGCCAGCTGCATCACTTTGACACATATCCACGGCGCGCATATCTTGCACTACGCTCGCTTTTGCGCCGGCTCGAAGAGATCGGGTACCACGTACGACGTGCGAGGACCAGTCAATTTTGCGACAGCCTGCACATCATCGTATGGGTACCGCCTGATCTGTCTTTGAATCATCAGTTTGCAGCCGCCCTTTGGCGAGGTGTGGCCGAGTCGACTCGCACTCATTGTTTTGACTTCACTTTTGATTCACTTCTGCCTCACATCTCACTTTGTATGGGCAACTGCCTGCCACCCCATTAATTTCACACTCACGCTCAGAAGAAGAAAGTTCCTCCCCCGTTCCTCGCTTCTTCCTCAAACCTTCCGTCGACATCTTCTCCCACCCCTTCACGATCAAAGCAAAGCAGCAAGGGCACTTAGCAACCATCTTTCCCTGACGCGTCCGACGCGGACTTCCATTTGCACTATCCCTCGCCTCTTCTCCATCTCCTCTTTTTTCCAACTACGATGGCGACCGGATTCGACCGCCTCGAGAGGCTCTTCAGCTCCAAGCGCAAAGCTTCCCTGGCCTCTCTTAGGGTTACCACGTCTATCAGTCCCCCAACAGAGCCGCAATTTCCCTCCCCTTCCTTCATCCGCCCGACGGCAAGTCGTATGACAGCTCGGGAGGAGGTGCGCTCGCGACTAGCGACAGGTCGATCTCCCTCTGTTCCAGATGCCATCCCCTCTCGCTTGGGCTCACTGAGCTCGCACGCCTCAAGTCCTGGCTTTGGTCCATCGCCTATTCGATTGCCATCTCTCTGCGACCCTCATGCACAGCCAGACTCATTAGTCGCCAAGCTTCGCGAGTATCGCTTCAGCCCGCCGAGCCAGGAGGAGAAGGCGGTACCAGGTCCAGCGGCTTTCAGTCCTGCAGCCACAGAGCAGTTTGACATTCCGAGTCCTCGTTCCCAATCCCCCCCTCACCTGCCGACCTTGACCCGTCTGCATACTCCTCCATCACCCCGTTCGCAAGACACCGGATCTTGTCGCCGCTCTATCGAGAGTCCTAGGAGCCCGACCTTTCCGTACAATACTCCGCCAACTCCAGAGGACTCACCTGAGATTGTACCCGTGCGCAATCTTCTCGCCGATTCCAAGATATTCGACATTGCCATCGACAAGACCCTGTTTGATGAGATTGAAGACCAACTTCTCCAGTCTTTTGATCACGCATCGTTCAACGAATCATACAGCGACTCGTCTCCCTCCGAGGCTTCCTCCAACAGCTCTACGTTGCGGGAGCCTGACTTCAACGAGTTCCTGAATCTCAGTGACGACGATATTGCAGAAGTGACACCTGAGGACCCAGCTCCTGAGTTTGACGACGACGCGCGGCAGTGCTCTCCATCCTCCATGGATACCTCTGTTCCTTCACCCACGCCGGGCCCCTCGTCTCTGTTGACGCTGACGCCTCCGTCCACAAGCCGGCCTGCCACCGCCGCTGCCTTTGAGGCGGCCAGAATTGCAAAGAGACATGACTTCGACCTTATCTATGTTGTGAACCTTTGGCCCGGCGGACCATGCGGCCAAATGTTTGACCTCGAGTGTGCGAGCTCCTGCGAAAGGCCTTTGGTTGGTCGACTCTTGGCAGCGCATGGCCTTCATCAAGTCCCTTCGCCACTTCAAATCTCTTCGGTTGTTCACACCACCATCTTGCGGTCGAAGGGCTGGGTCGAGTACCGCAACCAAGAGGCTCAACCGCATGAGCTCGCCCGTGGCTATGCATGCTCCTTCTACCCAGGAAAGTACACTCAGGGTAGCTCGAGCGATAAAGAGAGTCCAGTTTCAGGAGTTCGGCTATCGGAGATGATTGATCGAGGTATCGTGTTTGCCGCGTACAGAAAACCCAGGATTGGACCATGCAAACTTGGACACAGCTTTACCGGAAGTGAGCTCAATTCGCTCCACGAGGATGCCGAGGCCTTGGTGGAGATGTTGATCGATATCCATGCCCGTAACCGTCAATACCAGGCAGCTTCTCACCACCAGCTGTGCGACGAAACTGGCCCCATGCCCATGCAGCAGACAAAGTGGCTATCCGCCTAGGCCGAACCGATGACACTCGATTGTCCGAGAATCTTTGCAGTTTGATGGACATGTTTGGCCTTGCATCTGATCTGTACCCATATTTTCCCTTTGTTCTTTCTTCCTATTTCCTGTCACCATAAATGATGTGTTACGAACGGTTTTCTTTTGTCTGTCAAATTTTTCTTTGTCGTCTTGTCGCTTTGAAGATACCTACAGGAGCGGTTGTTTCTTTGCCCACTCGACACACGACAGCAGTGTGCCTGTTGCGTTTGGCGTTGGAATGCGTTACTCGAGAGCCTTCAGCTCTCCCTGCCATAATCAGGGGCGGAACTTTGCCCAGGGCAGGCATGGTCGGTGGAGTTTTGTGTTTATTTGTATTATGGAAGGAAGCCGGACAAGGGGTGTGATGTCTTTGTGAGGATGGTGGCCTCGGCAGATGCTGCCGCAACAAAAGGACTTGAAGGGCATGTATTTCGCATATAGGGCACGTTTTGGCCGCAAAAGCGACTGCTTCTTTATTGAACGGTAGTTAGATATATAACCACGTTTGAGAAAGCCAAAAAGTATTTGTCAACGAAAAGGACTTACCTACTGGACTACAAATTAAGCGGATCAGCTAAGTGGAAGACGTACGACAGTCTCAAAAGCTGAACGTACACGTACTTGGCTATGGCATCGTCAGGTATACCTCTGGGTTTCGATAATCATAACAGTATAGAAATTTGCCATTGCTGCCTAATGGTGTTTTACATTTTCCTTTTCCTCTCTCGCACAACGCACATTCCTTGTCTCTTGACCAACACTAGTCAAAAGGGATTCTACGCAAGGATTCTGTATGGCCTTTCCTCATCTCCTGAGCAGCAGCAAGACTACTGGGCACCTTGATGCCGCAGCAGTCGCCCCAGCCGGTACCGTCGTGAGCGTTGCCCGTGTGGCTATGATTGGAGTGATCTTCACCACTGTCCTCGCCGGCGGCGGACGGGTCCTCTTCGCTCATGCCTTGGGCAGCGGGGATGAGGGAGCCGAAAAGGAAATGCTGCATGACGGGCAGCTTGCCCAGGACCTCGGCGACGAACATGCGGCGCATGCCGCCGTCGATCTTGGACCACGACTTGGAGGAGGAGATGTCGTCCAGCATGGGGCTGTGCCAGCGCAGGCCCTTGACGGTCTTTGTGCTGTTGACGAACTTGACTTGGCCGAGGTAGAGGAAGTCGTCGCCAAACTCTTCGACTGTCAGATCCTGGTGGATGGCACGAGGGGTGATGAAGGGGTGGTGCAGAAGCTGAGATGCGCCGAAGAGGAAGGGCAGGAACTGGTAGTCGTCGAGGCCCCAGACGCCGTGGGAGCCGGCGGGCTCAAGGTAGTAGGCCATCTGGACGACGCGCATGAGGATGAGATAGCGAGCAAAGACTCGCAGGACCAGGGCCTGGAAGTCGGAGCGCTGCAGGATGCCGAGCTGGTAGAGGCAGAGCAGCCACATCATGAAGTTGAGCTCGTGGCCGGACCCATAGTCGATGCGGTTCCGGTTGCCGAAGGACTGGGCGAGGTAGGTTGATGCCTCGGCGACGGCGTCGGGATTGCGGAGGCCGAGGCGTTCATGCCATGCTGGGATCTTTTCCTTGACGAGATCTAGGAAGCCCCTGAAGGCCTTGTTGCCGAAGCGGGAGCCGCCTTGCTCGGTTGGGGGAGACTGAGAGACGAATGTTTCTGCTTCGTCGAGTATGGCCAGGATTGCCTTGACGGGGCCACTCAGGGTGTCATCCTTGATGGCTGATCTGGGCGTGTCGACCACGGACTCTGACAGGCCAAACACCCATGCGGCGATGAGGTTGTAAGTCGGAGAGGCCAGGAACAGGTCATGGTCCGCCCTTGACAGGATGCGCCTGCTGGGAACCTTGAAGGTCCAGTCCGTCAGGTCCGGCGGCGGCGGCAGGGCGGGCGTCTGGGGAACTGGCGTCGGGTTGGAGGGGGGCGGTCTCTTCCTGCGAGGCTCGAGCTTGGGGATTCTGTCTTTGAGGTTGGGGATGCCGGAGGCCGGCGATGCTGATGATGATTGGGCTGGTGATTCAGATGCCATGGCGCTTATTGGACTGCAGTAATTCGTGGGAAAAGGTGATGTTGAGACGTGGTGTGTGATGGTGAATAATGTAAGCTTGGTAAGGTATGGTATGAGGTGAAGTGAGTTGAGGTGAGGCGGGTTGTCTGCTGTCCAATGACGAAAACCGGTCGGTCCCTGAATGGCCAGCAGCTTCCAGATGCCGCCCCACGCATCTGCCCAGGCAGTTGAAGGGAGGTCCCCGCAAAGTAGGTACCTGCCAGTGCCAGTGAACCCCCAACCGCTGAGCTGTTCCGGCGACAGCGCAAGTACACGAGCGCCACAGTCTACTTTTGCAGATCGAGACTAGCACCACCCGTCGCGCCTCCTTCATCGCCTGGAGGGCAAAATTTCAAATCCTGCAGCATTATCTGATTATCAAAGACAAAAAGTGCCGACGACAGCCTTGCGGCCTCATCAACTTTTCTTCATTCATATCATATCTGAACTGTCTTAAGCCATGGCTCCTCCTTCGGCTGAGCTGTCACATCTGCCCAAGGCCGACGGCTCCGCAAACTTTTCCTTTGGCGGCTACACAATCACAGCCGCCGTCAATGGGCCAGTAGAGGCGCAGCGCCGGGATGAGAATCCCTTTGAAGCGCTGGTGGATGTGAATGTGAGGCCGGCGGCGGGCGTTGGAGGTGAGTGGACGTCCTTCCTTTTTTTGCTGTCACGAGGGCTGCAGACAGTTCAGGACTGGGAGTCCACATTGTTGCAAGATCGTAGTGTCTGACCTCTTATTTGCTTCTTACTAGGGACTGCTGAGCGGCAGCTGGAGGCCATTCTGCAGCCTGCTTTGCGGCATCTCATCGCCATCAGGAATTTCCCCAGATGCGTGATTCAAGTCACGCTCCAGGTCATGGAAGCGCCTGAAAACGCCTATGTGAACAGCAAGGTGCTCCAGCCCCGGCTCGTAAGTGAACCTTTGCCTCTCAGAATGCTGCCCATTTCCGGTTCTCATCTCACACACTCATCTCACACACTCATCTCACAGAATCTTGGAATCATCCCGTCGCTGTTGCATGCCGCGATGCTGGGTCTTCTTACTGCTGCAATTCCCTTAAACACAGTGGCCTCGGCAACCTGCCTCGCCATTACGGATGCTGAAGGAAGCACCACCGTCAAGGTAGACCCGTCACCGGCGGAAATCGACCAAGCGACCTCTGTGCACGTGCTGGGCTTCACGGCCGGCCGAGACTTGCTCCTGGCCGAGAGCGAGGGCTCCTTCACGGCAGAGGAGTGGGACAGGGTTCTCCAGATGGCCGAAAACGTGTGCTGTCGCGGCCAGGAGGCTGGAAACGATGCGGAAATGGGAGGCTACGGGGCAGAGTCCGAGAATGTGCTACAGTTCATGCGCTCCGTTCTGGAGGCCAAGGCAGCCGAAAGCCTCCACTGGAGGTGAAGCATCTGCCGCCCGTCGAGACGACGTTGTTTCCTTACCCCCCTAATACCGGTGGCCCTCTTGGCGCCAGCAGGGACGGCCGTACGGACTTTGCTATCGCGTCTTTTGCGATGGTGCGGAGCACCCCAGTTCGATAGCCGGACAATATGCCGGTGATTCGTGTGAATCCGCCTTTGGTAGTGAGGCGCTATCATTTCGAGATTACGACAAAGACTGGCACGGCGGAGAACAGAAGTGGAAAACATGGGGTTGGAGACGCTATTGGATTTGTGACAAGGCGACATGGAGGGCAATACTCTACGAATAACGAGTCTTCCTACGCGACGGGATGCCAGCCGTACAGGTTAGCTGAGGTCGAGAAGCAGCTCGCTAGATAAGCTGCGTTATTAATTCTTGAGCATGACACGCTACTTGTCAAAGGAAGAGGGTGTGGCCGAACAGGCTGAATTGCTTCATCACTCGGGTTCAAGAGGGGGAGACGACATATCACCATACTAGTGGACTCTAAGGAGTACCTCAAGAGGATTTAGTCAGTAGCGAAGTGACCAATCCGAAAGATTCACAGGCGGACATTGCTTTCCCTCTGTTGTCATTGCCTGCGCTGCCATACTACCGCTGGTACCGGTATTTGGCATCTAAATTTGGATGCTTTCGGAGCTGAGTCTTATCTGTAACAGCCCCTGAGGCCTTGGTGTGAAGGGTGAAACGCCGTTTCGGCCACCAGCGGCAGGGCCCGTAGCGACCGTTGCAGACAGAAGTAAGGAAAATAGGAAGAAAGGGGTAAAGAAGATGGATTAGAACAAGAGAGTAAATGGAGTACGAAGAGCCTTCATGCGCCTGGATGCGGAACGCCGAGGCGGGATTCACGTGGGAAGGGGATGGATGGGGGTGGTGAGACAGCCAAGATGCCGCACTATCAATCGGCGGCGGGTATCTGGCATTTTCTGGCATTAATAGAGACGGAGGCACTCAGTAGATGCGAAGTATACTACCTTATGGCTCATAGATTGGGATCAAATCAATGTTCCGCAGCGTAGCATTTCGGTTGGTTTGGTTTCAACGAGTTGGTTCAGTTCATCCGTTCCGTGAGCGTAATCCTCGAGATTCACAGCTCAAGGCACCAAAGTCGTTTGTGGAGGAGCACCTGTAACCGTACGGGGCGGTAGTATCAGATTTGATCCATGGCGGTTCACTTCAAGTTACGGGTTGTTAGCGAGCAGCATGGATAACACATACTACTACATACTTGCTACTGCAGGTAATGCGAGTTCCGCGTCTCAGACAAAAGCCCTGCAATCCCACGCCCACGTTTCCAGACCGAAGGAACTGGGGGAGGTCCGCATTGCAAGGGCCCGTTGTTTCGCTCATGGCCAACGCCAAATGTTTCCGGGGGGCTCTGGCCTAGCGATGCTGAGCGCCTCTGTGACGATGGCTGCATCAATTCGTGCTGCTAAAGGGTTTCCAAGTGCGGACGGGGACAGGAAGAAAGGGGACAAGGGACGGGGTGACGAAAAGTGATGGGATTTGCTCTAGCGGTCAGAGAAAACGTTACGATTCTTCGTTGCTGTCGTGCTCTTGCGGGGGGCCAGTTTCAACAGGTATATAAGATTGATGGCTGCATGTGGCTGAAGCTGTTGCTTTTTTTTTTTGTGTGTGTTACTTGTTCTTCCATTCCATTTCTGGAGGCTTGTCGACACACGCACGACTGTGGTGTTGCAGCGATAATACCGAAAGCAGAGCTCTGGAAGTTCCTGCAAGTCCGTGATTGCGTTATAATACCCAGCGCAGCGCAGCGTGTCGTTTTCGTCTTTCAACTTGTTATTCGTCTTATTTATTATCATCATCATCCTGTTTTTTCCAATTTTTTTATTTTAACGAGAATTTCCTTCACTCCTTCCCACTCGCCTACACACTCCAGTCTCGGCAAGAACCAGGCGTCGCCTCGTTTCGCTCCTGCCCTCCCTAGCGGCAAAGATACTTTACGCCTTCTCTCTACCTTATCAACACTTCTCAACTCCCACAAGGCTTTTTCTTCAGCCTCGCTCCTTCATCATCTCCTTCGCTCTCGCTTCTCTGCTGCCCATTCCATCGCTTTACGCTACAGCTGGTCTGTTGCAGCCTCGACCTCCTCGGTACTTTCCCTGACGATCTACGAGCTGTAAGACGGATCTTTCCTTTCTCTTTATTGGCCCCCGCATTGCAGAGGCAACAAGATATCCATACGATAATATTAATCCGATCAACGCGGACACCGATATACTAATTCGGCAATTAGTCCTCGATTTCAAAGCAAGACATACTCGTGCAAACACAAGGGGAAAGGGAAACTGCAAGGTTGCGCATTGCATTGGACCCCAAAAGTTCGCTCCGACACTTCCGCTATCCGCTTGGCGTGTCGTGTCGTGCTGCATCGCATCGCACATCTGCAATTTCCCTTTATTGCGCCCTGGAACAGCCTGGCTGTGACGTCTGCTGCGTCACTGTGCGACGGACTGTGGTAGGGTTGCCCAATCCTTACCAATCGCTGCACGTCCGCAGCACGTCGCAATCTGGCAATTATCGCTGACACTGTTCCAGATCCTTCGACCGAGTCCTACCAGAGCAACAAGAGCGGCAATCCTGCCCCGAACGCTGCGCTCCTGATCCCGGCGCCTCCTCCAACAAGCGGAAACCCGCTATTGCTTCCACTACTCCCCTCTGCTAGGCCCGCCCGGGGTTAATAATCGCCATTCGCAATCGCTCGCTCCAGTAATCATGGCCGGCGCGGTTTCCCCTCGGACCGACCTCCACCCTACGCCCGAAAGACGCAGCGGACTTGAGTCGCACGACTGCCCTGTTTCGCTTTTGTTGGCTAAATCCGACACATTTGACCGCCGTCCCAAGTCATCCTCCGGCATTCATAACCTGTCCGTCAACGTCTCCAAAGCCTCTCGCTATGAAGTCGACTCCAACATCCCCTACACTGCTATTCCATCCCTAGGTGGCTCTGGTGCCACGGGCTCTCCCATCGCGCCAGTTATTGTTTCGCCGGCAGAACCCTCGATTGTCGACGAGCCCAAGACCGCAATCTTGCCAAGCTTCTCAACAACTGAAACGGAATCCAGCCAGCAGCAAACACAGCAAACACAGCAGCAGCCACGCGATCTCTACCAAGGCACTGCCTCCTTCGACCTTCTCCCCCGCCAGACGCTTCTTAAAGCGCTCGCCTCGACCACCTCTGTTTCGCGTCCCAAGAAGCCCGAAGCCCTCTCGCTCAACAATATGCTATTCCCTCAAAGCAGCAACGGCGGCGCCTCCTCCGCCGCCGCCAGTCCTCAACAGCTCGTCGATGCGCTCCAAGACCTAGCCAAGAAGAGATCTACACCAAACACAGCAATCAGCAATCTCCTGTCGCCGTGCTTCTACCATCAGCGATTCGACGACGCTGTCGATTTCGAAAAAGTCCTCGACGAGATCAAGAACGACGAATCTATGTCACATTCGCGCTTGGTTCAGACTGCGACAAGCGTTCGCGAACTCTCCAAGCAGCTTCAGCGGCGCCCCGTCAAGCGCGCAGTCCGCAATGTCATGATTGTTACCAAAGCCCGGGACAACCAGCTGGTCTACCTCACCCGAGAGCTGGCAACGTGGCTTCTGCAGACGCCACGATATGGATCTGACATTGGCGTCAATGTCTACGTAGATGCCAAGCTGCGCAACTCGAAACGGTTCAACGCCGCAGGCATCATTGCTCAGGATGAGCGGTTCGGCACCATGCTCAAGTACTGGACTCCGGATCTGTGCTGGAGTCAGCCCGAGAAGTTCGATCTCGTACTCACCCTTGGAGGCGATGGCACTGTCCTCTACACCTCGTGGCTCTTCCAGCGCATCGTGCCCCCGGTTCTCTCCTTCAGCTTGGGCAGCCTTGGCTTCATGACGACCTTTGAGTTTGAGCACTACAAGAAGCATCTGAACCGTGTGATGGGCGATGACGGTATGAAGATCAACCTCCGCATGCGATTTACCTGCACGGTATGGCGAGCAGGCTCCAACGGCAACTCGGACGAGGGAGAGCAGTTCGAAGTGCTTAACGAGCTTGTCATTGACCGCGGCCCTTCGCCATACGTCTCCAACCTGGAGCTCTACGGAGACGACGAGCTCTTGACGGTCGTTCAAGCCGACGGCTGCATCTTTTCTACGCCTACCGGCTCAACAGCCTATTCCCTCTCAGCGGGTGGCTCTCTCGTCCACCCGGATATCCCCGCCATTCTCCTGACTCCCATCTGCCCTCACACTCTCTCGTTCCGACCCATGGTTCTCTCCGACACTATGGCGCTCCGGGTGGCCGTACCACGCAACTCCCGAGCCACCGCCTACTGCGCTTTCGACGGCAAGGGACGTGTGGAGCTTAAGCAGGGCGATCACGTTACCATCACTGCCTCGCAGTATCCCTTCCCTACCGTCACCCGTACCGACACGGAGTGGTTCGACAGCGTCAGTCGCACTCTGCGATGGAACGTCCGCGCGGCTGCTCAGAAGCCCTTTGACGCTTCCGGCATCTCGCCCGATGGCGAGGAGGAAGATGACGACAGCTGGGACATTGACACCGACAGCGCGTATTATGCGAGCGAAGAGGGCAGCACCGCCGCCAGCCCCGTCAGGAGACAGATGAGCATGCTGGGCATGTGATCTCGACAAGCACCTGATGATGACTTTTTCTTTTTTTACTTCTTCAAGTCGCCCTCTGGGCTTTTCATATCTCGTTGTTCAAATCACCTCATGAGCGTGTCATGCCAACTCTTTCATCTCGATTATACTATACGTATACGACAACGGCATTGGTCCTTATCACGTATACACTTTCACTGAACATATAGATTACGGATATGTTGTTGGGATCTTGCTGAATCCCATTCGTTTTGTGTACTCTGGCGTTGAGAATACTCTTGGGACTCCACTGGATAACGTCCCTCTGGTTGGATATTGTTTGTTTCTACTTCGTTGTCGTCTCGAGACTCAGTCTGAACCTTAGACTAGACAGACCATATAGCTAGACACGATCTTAGCAATGACAGCTCGAGGAAGCTTGAATTGAAATGCAAGTCAAGCATACCAAAGCAATTGAACGTCCCGTCTTGCAAATTATGTGAAGAGCAAATTTCGACGAATTTGGATAAAACAAGCATCATGTATTGCCACTGCAAATGGAACCAATCTCTTTTTCTATCCCCACCAGTAATGATCCAGCCGACCTTTGCGCCATCCAAAATGCCCATCTTATTTCAATCCCAGCTCCAGCCACACGGAACAACCCGAGATAAGAACACGAAGAGAAATACCAGAACACGAGACTCGAGACCAACCCTCTATCCGCGTAGACAAAAGTTACCAACCATATCCCTCCCTCCCCAAAAAGAAGAAGGCAACATAAATAAAATGAATAATCCGTAATAGAATCCCCGCCACCTTTTATAAAACAAAGGAGAAGAGCGAGAAGTCGTAAAGGGGGCAGGGAACAAAGTCCCGCTTCCCGGTCGTAAGAAGTAAAAAAGATTCGTGTCTTCATGAGAGACAAAGGGAAGTATCCAAATGAGCGTGTGCAGTGTTGCTTTTGTCTTTCCTTCTCCTTTCTTTTTGTTCCTTGGTCTCTCTTGGCTTGTTTTGTGTGTCCCTTACCCCTTGCATCATCTCCAAGCGCCCTGGCTCAGAGACAGCAGGCCTGCAACGCAGTCCATGTCGCCCTTCTTGCTTGGGCTGACATCACCGCACATGAAGCGGCTTACTTCATCGTCGCGTGGAGATTCCGCCTCGGCCTCCACAGCCCCAAAGTCCGAGACTCCCGTTTTCACGGACGAACTCGACCCCGATGGCATAGTGTGGGCACGCATCAGGAGCGCTGGGCTCTTTCGACCCTGCAGCGCTCGACCGATGCGCCGCGCACCCTGCGATCGACTGGGGCTGCTGGGAGGCATTTGCCGACGGCCGTCTGCAGAGGCTGCCCCGTTTCTGGGGCTCCAGTTCTCCTTGTCCGAGTCGGAGGGAGAGACGAGCATGGAGACATTCATCTTGGCATGAGAGGACTCGCGCATCTTGTCGTCGTTTGCCCAGCAAGTTTCCAGGCGGGCAACGCTGGAGGCCGTGCGGCCAAGCCTAGGCTTCTTGGACTGGCGAGAGCGCGACAGCTTTGACAGCGGCGCATTTCGCTTGACACTGCTGGGTTGCAGGATGCCGCTGGTGGAACGAAGCAAGCTGATGGCAGCAATGGCAGAGCCGCTGGACTCATGCTCGGCTTGCGCCGTCAGCTCGTCTCGAGTTTCAGAATCGGCACACAGCTCCCAAGCATGGACATCACGAGACCGGCCCTGCACCAGGCGTGGTGGAAGCGAGCTGGTCAAGGTGGAGATGGGAGGCAGCGTAACGGCAGGAAGCGCACTATGGCTACGGTGAAGGCTCCGTTGCCGATACTGGGAGAGGGATGGCAGAGTAGACGAAGGCCTCGATGGGGTTTCACGGACGGGCGAGGATTCGTTGTTGGGCACCAGCTCAGCCTTGCCTTCAAGGGAGAGGGCAAGGCGCACATGCGATCGGTATTGCCCAGACGCATTAGACGAGCAAGAGGAAGGGATGAAGGGGTCATATCTGAGAAAACAGGTCAGCAAACTGATAACGGCATAAAACTTTTGTCGCATATGGGGTCGTCTTACTTGGCCGAGTTATCACGAGAGAGGGGCGTGGCGTAGCAATTGCCCAGATTCCATCGGTTTGCCAGGTAGCCGACAGAGCCTGACACGGAGTGAGGGTGATGACCATCTTCGTGCGTTGGGTACATCTGTCGCTGCGGTGTCGCATGCGGCAGACTGCCTGCGACATAGGGCTGAGAGCCGTACCGGGGTGCAGGCGTGGCATGAATGGACTCTGCGACAGCGTGGTGAGGGTGTGCATGATGGGGGCTGCCGGGCATGTGAGACGGCGACGTAGGAACATGGCTGACAACGGCGCCAGAAGGGTCGGAGGCGGGGAACGAGGCGGGATCCAGCTCGACGACGATGCTGCGGGAGGTGATTGGGTCGGACGCGATGTTATGCATGCCGCTGAAGCGGAGAGCCGCCAGCTCCTGCGGCGACAGCGGACGGGATTTCCGCCTGTCATTCTGCCTTCGGTTCTGGAACCAGATCTAATTCGCCAAACGAACGGCCTTTGTCAGCTTGTGCCTTGCCTCTAAGCATAAAAGGGTGCATAACGTTTAATTGGTTTTTAATTAGGAGACGCGTTGACCACTTTGGATCCCGGCATGGCAGCCAAGGGTGGACGTGACCCAATTGAAGAGCACAGCGGAGAGATGGCATACCTGGACTTCTTTCTCGTTAAGAGAGACGCGGTTGACGATCTCGAGACGCGCCTGCTTATCGGGTTTGGGGTTGATAGAGTATGCCTCTTCGAGGATCAGCTTGTCCTTGGTGCTATCGAGACGGAGCAACACGTTAGCCATCTGACATGCATGCTGGGCCAATTGGAATTGAGGCCGAAAAAGGGAGTAGATTTCGGTTTTTGCAACTCCATTCAGCAGTTGTCAACCATGGAAAAAAACATACGCTGTTCGTTTTCTCTTGCCCTTGGGGTGCTTGTCTGTGGTGGGGGATGAGACGGCGGGGAGCGCGCTCTGGGCCATGGCGGGCGTGTACTCGGTGGTTCGGATGGGCGACGGCGAGCTGACAAGCCGCAGATGCTGGTGGTAGTGATGGTCGACATCTGCCATGGCTGCAGGCGGCGTGAGGGGACTGTTGGACATGGCGGTGGAGGGTGTTGCTGTGGTGGACGTCGTGGGATGTTGTTGTTGTTGTTGTTGTCGTTTCGTGTCTAAGCGGCGTCTAGAGGCATTCGGTACTTGTCTATTGTTTTGTTTACTCCGAGTAGCCGTGAGAGCTGAAGGGCAGACTGGAGAGCAAAAACGGAGGGATCCAGCAGGAAGATAAAAGCAGAAGCAAAAGCACACAATTGGTGCCCAGAACGGAGTCGAGGTGAAGGGGAGGAAGAGAAAAAACAAGACCAGGAGCCCCGGAATCGACGTGTAGCGAGCAAAGACGTGGTAAGGCAGGTGTGTTGTGGACGTGCAGGAAGGTGCAGGAGGGTGCAGGTGCAGCGCAGGTCTGCAGGAGGCGGTGGGAATGGGTTGTAGTAGGTACATAAGCCGCCAGGCTGCATCGGCGGGCGATCAGGTAGAGTACAAGGGGGGGCCCCGGCGCGCTAAGGCTTTTAGGTACCGCTACCTGCCGTGGACAGCGCATAGTACAGCAGGTTACAGCACGCACAGCACGCCACAGGCGGTCCCCCTGGGCGCGCTGGAGCACCTGTGGCCCCTGTGGCTCCGGTGGCTCCCCCGGGGAGTGGCCCAGGGGGTGTTGTTGCGGTTCTGCGCGTGGCATTCCGACCGCTGGTATCGGTACGAGCCCAAAAGAAAGGCACACATTTTAATTGAAGCCACCCCTCTAGCTCCGGGTATGATGAGAATGAATTCAATTTAATTCAGGGCTGTTTTCATATTCAGCAGGAATTGAGACCTCCAAGGTACATGCTGATTCGCGTTCTTGGTTCGTTTTGTTTCCTCTGCCATCTTTCCTCTTGTTCTGGTTTCTACTTGTTTGACCGGCCCTCAACGTAAAGCAAATCACGTCGCGCGGCTGGCGCTGGCATGTCCCAATAGGGAAACACTCCAGGTGCCTCTTAAGACGCGTTGCACGTGCAAGGGTCAAGCTGCGCTGCCCAACTCTTGTGTGTTTTGTTCTCCGCTTTCCGTGTCTGATCTGATTCTTCATCAACTTCTATTCTGGTTCTTTTCCGTAATTGCTCCTGTAGCTGAAAGCTGGCCCATTGATGACCCCTGTTGGATTGCAAAGACGCAGAGGCGAGCTCCATCTTCTTCAGCAACATAGCCGTAGAATCAATCATGTCAAATTAAATCAAACCAAACAAAGCCGAGACCGAAAAGAGTGCAGACAACGGAATGGAAACAAGTACTACTGCTTGTAACAAGGACAAGGACCGGGATGGGGCTGGCCAACAAACGCATGAGAGGCGTACAACTACGATACACGATACCTTGCTGCTGAGTGCTTGCATGCGGTCCCGCTCACAGCTAAGCATCTCTCCCTCGTCAAGCCTCCCGCCCACTCCCACCTCACCCACGCTGCTTTGATTGCTGCCACCACACACGAGCACTATCGAGTCCGAACCGCTATTTTAGTGTCATGCTAGTACTAGTCGTAGGTACCTAGTGGTTGTAAGAGTAGGAGTACAACTACAAAGTCTCATTGAACCGTTTGTTTACTTTTGGCCGCATTGGGCTCACCGCAGATAAACACGGACACACCACAACCCATCACGACTCAACACCACAGCATGAACAAAAAAACGTCTCAAACCACCAGCCATTGTCGCTCCGACAATGCCAGCAAACTGCTCTAAACCACACGACTGCTCACAACCGACGAGTGCCTATTCTTAGCAATTCCCAGTCTATCACATCACACCATGCTATACGTCTCATATCATCCATCAGACAGCACAACATGCTGAACAAGAATACACAGCTCGAGTCGCACACATTCTGCAAAGTACGCCCAGATGGAGACCGCCATGCAAGCACTCCAACGTGTCTCCCTCAACCTCCCATGCCGCTGCTGCATCCGCTT